CACATAAAACCAATATCCGTAACGTATGGGGCCTGAACGGAAGCACCTGATAACAAAAAATCTATTCCATTGAGCTGTCACTATTATGCCAGGATCATAACATCATAATAAGTAAATAATATACAGAAAACATACACATACATACTTCGACTCAGCCCATAGTTGGGTGTATAACAAAACATTTTAATGAAAGACAACCAAGGCATAAGCCCAAAAAGACTAACAACACCTTACGAAATACACGGGCTTCGGCCAAGTGCCTGGACACACCAAGGTTGACAAGAGAGAGACGAGCCTTAAGGGTTAGGACTGGTCTCCTAGCTGATTACCTACAGATACAGACAAAATACAGAATGAGCGAAACTCATTGAATAATAGTACATAAATAATGTAAGGTTTAGCTTAAATAATAAAGCATAAAGTTGCAGAGACATATAATTGATTGTATTCTGTAATTAATTCCAAACAATTATAGGTCCAGTTTTCTTAATAGAGTGGCTTTAAGCCCCGTATGTACAGAACAGCCATAGGCCCAGAAATATACAGAACAACCTTTCGGCCCAGTAACATATACAGAACAGCCTTCCGGCCCAGAAATATATACAGAACAGCCTTTCGGCCCAGAAACATATACAGAACAGCCTTCCGGCCCAGAAATATATACAGAACAGCCTTTTGGCCCAGAAACATATACAGAACAGCCTTCCGGCCTAGAAATATATACAGAACAGCCTTCCGGCCCAGAAACACACACATATATATATATATGTGTGTGTGTGTGTGTGGACTCAAGAGGTGGCTCGTACGGATTCTAGAGGTGACTCCCACCAAAGTGTAGCACTTAGTTCCATACAGTACTTTGTTTCATACCAGAAATCATCAGTTCCGATTAAATTTAGAACCATACAGAAAGTACATACATTCCTTCTATTATTCATATGAATTAACATAGTTGATATAAGCTTAACAGAATGTTGCTGATAAGTGTTAACAAAAGGTACATACATTTTACCGATTGAATGATTCCAGAGATACATAAATACCATAATTCCATAATGCGTATACGTTCCGTCATTCGTTGTATATCAATATAGCTATCTTGTAGACAACAGAATGTTAGTATTCATCATCAATCATAAACAAAATATACTGCTCAATAATGCTCTTAGATTTCCCATGGTTTATCATAACATTAATAATAATTATTTACAGAAAGCATATGTGTAATTCCAATACTATTCATGGAGACAGAACAATTCACATTCTAACGTGAATCACATCTTTATTCAAATTCGTATGTATTTAAATTTTGTGATTTTAAATACATAGTTATATAATGATATTTCTTTGCATATACTGAAATCATCGAATGAGTCATACTTAGGGAAGATAAGGCATACCTATGACCGTAGTTTAGCATAGGCGTTTTGTGCCAACCGATGATGATTCATGCTCGTGATTTGAATGTATGAATATTCTTGAAGATATTATTGGGGCTTGTAACCAAAATACAACATTATCCTCGTAAGAGTGATTTTTCATGAAGTGAATCAATAAATCCTAGTTAGATAGCTGTGTGGTGAGAAGGGTGAGTGCTTCAGAGGAGAAGGGGATGGAGGTGTCGCGTCTGACAGAGTGGGCAAATCGCACGTGGAAGATTAATGGTGGAGTACAGGTGACATTGATTGGTGGAAAATTTGTGTTGCTCGCCTTTTTGTCGAGGGTTGACGCTTCTTAGATCCTTGCCGACCAGTGGGTCGTGGAAGGGAGACCTCTGCTACTTGAATGGTGGTCACCGATGGCTTTGTGTGTACAGAGTAAACATGCCTCTTCATCTCTGAGTCACTGGGTTCAAATGTTGGGTCTTCCAATGCATCTTCGTGGAGAGCAGGTTTTCAAGAGATCGGCGATCGTTGTGGTGGCTTTCTAGAGGTTGACGATGAGTCTCTCTAGCTGTGGAGACGCTCGGCTATGTTCGCATAAAGGTTTGAGGTTCAAAGAGAGGTGCTCCGGCAAAGGTATGTGTTCAGTGGGGGCAGTGGCACTACTTTTTACCTGTTTGGTCAGAGGTAGGCCCGGTGGTGGAGACATGGGAGTCGTCAGAGTTGGATTCTCATCGGCAACCATGGATGGTAACTCACGATTCGCGACGCAATGAGTCCCAAATTACACGGCGTGATTTGAGGACGAAGGATCTCCGTTTCCATGGTGGACGCATTGGTCAAACCCAGGTTTGGAGGCCCAAGGGAGTGAGGCTATGAGGCGGCTAGAAGTTGGGCCAGAGACAAGTGGGGTCTAAAAATGGTGATGGGCCAAGTGGTGTTGAGCCCAAAGGGATGGGTTCGAATTGTCCAAAGCAGAGACACATGAGCCAAGTGATGGATGGTGGGCCAGCTTTTTGTGACTCAGGCCCTTCGTCGAGTGGGCCTAAGGCAACTAATGGGCTTAATGCCCCAGTGGCTCAAATTTCAGTATGTTGCATCAAGGTTTGAATCCAACTTTCATGGGTCGGGTCGGGTCGGGTCGGGTCGGGTCGCAAGATGACTTCCGTAGGTTAAGTGCAGATGCGAATCAACCTGTTGTGGGTCAAGACAAGTCGATAGAGGGAGACGATCGGCGTCAAGGGTTAGAGACGAAGTCTAGGCTGGAGTTGGTGGTTCGCCGAGATGTCGTTGATAAGGTTTCAGGTCAAGGCTAGTGTCGGATGTTGATGGGGCTAACTCTCAATCGGAGAGCTCGGCTTTTGAAGAGGGAGAGGTTCATACAGAAGCGGAGGAGCATGGAGGTTTTTCGTGGGCTGATAGAGATGGATAGGGGGACGACAATGGTGGAAAGACAATGCTGATGGTGTTGCAACCCCTAGCTGTGGAGGATGGTTTGCTAAAGGAGTTTCAGGGGCAGACTCACATTGTGCTGGATGATGCTGGTGGGTTGGATGGGAATGAGGTGCCGTTGGCTGAGGCAGTGTTGGAGTGGGTGCTACAACGCATTAATGAAGTTAGTCGGTGTCTGGGTTTGTCTTTTGAAAGTCATGAAGATGAGGCTTTGCAGTTATTTTCGGCAGTGGAGGCATCATGGCAGCAAGGGACTCCTAGTAAAGGGATGGTTACGCCTTGAGTATCTTGGCATAAAGGGAATTGGGAGCTTAGGAATTTAGCATGCACTGTTAATTATGATCATGGAGTGAAGAATGCGGGACAGGGTTTTAGAACAAACCGTGGGGGACCACTTTTGTTGAAATGAAGTTAAAAATTCTATCTTGGAATGCGCGGGGTTTGAATGACAAGGACAAGAGGGTGGCGGTGTTGCGAAATGCAAAGGCTGATGTGGTGTGTTTACAGGAAACAAAGATGGAGGTGTTAGGGGTGGACATGGTACGAGAAGAGTGGGGGGGAGATTTGTGGAGTGGACATATCTGTCGGCGTTGGGTACAGCGGGTGAGGTTCTTATTTGTTGGGACAAGAGGGTGGTGATTAGGGAGGAGGAGGAGGAGGAGGAGGTAAGAGGGTTTTCTGTGTCTTGCTTGTTTCGGTGTGTGGAGGAGAACTTTCGTTGGGGTTTTACTAGGGTGTATGGTCCGGTGCAAAATTTAGAGTGGGAAATGTTTCTGGAGGAGTTGGAGAATGTCACGTTTCGATGGCATGTCTTATAGTGCATGGGAGCTGATTTTAATGTTGATAGGTGGTCGACGGAGAAGGTGGGGAATACTCGGGTCTTGGGCTCAATGCGGGCTTTCTGTTCTTTTATAGATAATATGTAGCTAATTGATTTACCTCTCCAAGGGGGAAGCTTCACTTGGAATTTGTCTAGAATAAACCGATTTCTGATTACCGGGGAGTGGGAGGAGCATTTCTCGAAGGTTGTTCAGATTCGTCTTCCTCGGCCAGTGTCTGACCATTGGCCATTTTGCTTGATAGTAGCGGGATTTGTTGCGGTCCCACGCCGTTTTGTTTTGAGAATATGTGGTTGCAAATGGACGGCTTTTTAAAGTTGGTTCGTGGATGGTGGAGTAGTTATGGGATTATTGGATTGCCTAGTTGTATATTGGCTCATAAATTGAAATTGCTTAAAGGAGATTTGAAAAAATGGAATAAGGAGGTATTTGGTCGGATAGAGGCCCAAAAGGCAAAGGTGGTGTCTTTACTTTAAGCTTTGGATGAATCAGAGGCACAAGGGGGACTATCTGGTGAGGATGTGGTTAGAAAGGAGGCAGCTAGACAGGATTTTGTTTATATTTCTAGCATGGAGGAGGTTTGTTTTAGACAGAAATCTCGTTGTTTGAGGTTGAAGGATGGAGACCGAAATACGAAATTTTTTCATCAAATGGCCAAAGCACACCGTCGGGTTGATCAGATTAGCCAGATGCAGGTGGAGGGTCGACAACTGTGTACGGATGCAGAGATTAGAGAAGGGGTTGTGGGATTTTATCAGTATTTGTTCCGACCCCAAGAGGGGACATGGCGTCCGGGTTTGGATGGGATTCATTCTGATGTTAGAACAAGCTTTTCCAGAGGAAGAGATAGTTGGGCTTTAAGGGCCATGAATGGGGATAAAGCTCCAGGACCGGATGGTTTCAATATGGCATTCTTCCAGCATTGTTGGAGCGTGGTTAAAGAAGATGTAATGGCGGCATTGGAGGCTTTCTTTGTGGCTGGACAATTTGAGAATAGTTTTATGTGACTTTTCTGGCTTTAATTCTTAAGAAAGGAGGGAGGGCTAAGGATGTTCGTGACTTTAGGCTTATTAGTTTGTTGGGGAGTGTGTATAAATTATTGGCTAAAGCGCTGGCGAATAGACTTAGATGAGTTTTACAGGATGTTGTGTCTAAATCTCAAAATGCGTTTGTGAGGGGTAGATAGATTTTGAATGCAGTTCTGGTTGCCAATGAGTGTGTGGATTCTTGGACTCGTCAGGAGCACCTTGGCTTGATTTGTAAGTTGGACATTCAAAAGGCATATGACAACGTCAGTTGGGAGTTTCTACGGTATGTGTTGGATCGTATGGGATTTGGAGAAACTTGGTGCCAATGGATCATGTTCTGTGTTTCGATTGTGTGGATGTCTGTTTTGGTCAATGGGACTCCAGCGGGGTTTTTTCCGACGTATCATTGTCTTCGGCAAGGGGATCCTTTGTTGCCTTTGCTATTTATTTTGGTGATCGAGGCATTGAGCAAATTGTTGGTTGGAGCAATGCATGAAGGTTTGTTGGAAGGTTTTGCTGTGGGATCTTTGTCTAGGACTCCTATTGGTATATCACATTTATTATATGCGGATGATGTTTTGATTTTCTGCGGTGTTGAAGTGGAGCAGGTGGGATATTTGAGATATCTTTTGCTTTACTTTGAGGTGGTGTTGGGCCTCTGGGTTAACTTCAGGAAATCGGAGCTCATTCCGGTTGGGGAGGTTGATAGGTTACCAATTTTAGCAGCAGTCTTGGAATGCAAGGTTTTGGTTTTGCCTGTGTTGTATTTGGGCTTGCCGCTAGGGGCGTCGTTTAAGGTGACGAGGGTGTGGGATGGAGTGGTGGAGCGTGTGTAGCATCATCTAGCGGGATGGAAGAGGCAATATCTTTCTAAAGGTGGAAGGTTGACTTTGATCAAGAGTGTGTTGAGCAGCATCCCACATACTTCATGTCTGTGCACGTTATTCCAGTGTCGGTGGCACGGCGGTTGGAGAAGTTTCAAAGGGATTTTTTGCGGGGTGGTGGAGAGGATGAGTTTAGGTATCATTTGGGTGATTGGGGGCAGATCTATCAATCTAAAAAAGTAAGGGGTTTGGGGTTAGGTGTTTGGTGACTTTTAATATAGCCTTGTTGGGAAAGTGGTTGTGGCGTTTTGCCTAAGAGTAAGATAGGTTATGGTGAAAGGTAGTGGCTTCAAAGTATGGGGTGGGAAGGGGTGATTGGGTTTCTGGGGATGTGACTGGTACTCATGGTTGTGGTCCATGGAAAAGGATTTGGTTAGAAATGGTGGAATTTTGGAACTGGGAAGGGTTTTGGGTGGGTGATGGGAGGAAGGTGCAGTTTTGGAAGGACAGGTGGTGTGGTGGGGTTTTATTGGAGGAACCGCTTTCCTTTGATTTTCATAATTGCGGTTGATCGGGAGGCAATGGTGGCATCTTATATGGGGGACGGAGGTGTCGTCGTTTGGGATGTTCAGCTTCGGCGACAGGTGCAAGATTGGGAAGTTACTCAATTGGTGGAGATGTGGGGATTTTTGTATGGGTTGGGGATTACTAGAGTGGGGCAAGATGTTATGGTGTGGAATGGTGCGGGTGCAAAGGGGTGGTTTTCAGTTTTCATTTTATCGGGGTTTGGTGGGGGAAGTGGGAAGGGCTTTTCCTTAAAAGAGTATTTGGGTGCTGGGTGTTCCGTCTAAGATGGCTTTTTTCATGTGGACGGCAGCGTTAGGGCGGAATCTCACGTTGGATAACTTGATGCGGCGTGGGCATGTTTTAGTAAATCGGTACTGTATGTGTTGTGCGAATGCGGAGTCGGTGGATCATTTGTTTCTTCATTGTTCAGTGGCTTCGCGGTTATGGGGTTTTATTTGTTCACTTTTTGGGATTGTTTAGGTTCAACCAAAGGGGGTGTTGGATATGCTTTGGAGCTAGCGGGGTGTTAGGATTGGACATCGGTGCCAATGGGTGTGGGTGTTGACCCGTTTTGCTTGATGTGGCTTGTTTGATTGGAGCAGAATAGGCGAACTTTTCAAGAGGTTTATCATGATGCTTCTTGGTTAGAGAGTCGTCTTTTGGTAGTTTTGTATAGTTGGATGGAGAGGAAGGTTGATCCAGATATGTTTGTTTTTTAGATTTTTTAGATGATGTAATTGGTTAGGGTTTGTTTTGTCCCTATGTGGGCTTGCCTTTTTGTATTCTTTGCATCATCTTGATGCTTTCTTCATAATATTTGTTTATTTATCCCCCAAAAAAAAAAATCCTAGTTAGGAGATTGGTGGTGAATTTAATAACCTTGAGATTCTCACTTCCATATCTCAACTCAATTTTATATTGCTTTTGTTTATTTTTAGTTTTTAATTAATTTAGTCATCACCATTTGAACAATCTTTCTTGAATTAATTTAGGAATTATTCTGAAATTAATGTACACTTGGCCCCTTTGTCTCCGTTTGAATGATACCTGGTTTTAACTACTATTTTAAGGAATAGTAGTTTCTACTTGGTTTTTAATATTTATTTTTGGTGGAAAAAACGACCCATCAATTTCCAATCCGATAGTGGCCTTGTAGCTAATCAAGGGCTAAGTCATGTAGATAGCAGATAGTAGGTCTTATCAAATTTATGAAATAGTGTTACCTCCAGCACAGAGTAAGGGATTGGACTGATAAAAAAGTAGAAAAATGTTCCAAGTCATAATGCACAATATCTTTCCATACTAAAGTTCATAATGAAAAAAATCCCCATTCTCCAATATCCTATAGCTATTTTTTCTCAAGATATTCTTCCATGTGATTTCTTCTTTTTCAATTTTTTCTACCTCAACCAGCTATTAAAAATAAATATATATACATATATATGGGGGGTTTAAAAAGAAATGGCTGTTAATGGGAAAAAATGACACGCTTTAATTGTTGTTTTCATTGAAACACAATAGGGGGCTTTAATATATTTGATTTGGTTCTCCGTTTACCAATGGGATATGACTAGTTGAGACCAGCTTCGTGAGAATCTCTCATAACTGAGAACTGACCACTTCAAGAACAGATAGATTTTAACTATGACTAAGATGCTTTGAAAATCTTTATCCAACTTCTAATTGATAGTAATTTTTTCTTTCAAAACTAGGGTTTAGAAGGAAATTTACCGACCATTGTCCCCTTGACTTGAGTGGTAATATGACAATTTTCGCTGTAAGGAAGACTCCTGGACAGACCAAAATCAGAAACTTTTGCATTCAGGTATTCATCCAGCAAGATATTGTTTGATTTGATGTCCCTATGTATGATCGGAGGGTTGGCAAGTTCATGCAGATATTGCAAACCACTTGCTGCACCAAGGGCTATTTGAAGCCGCCTCATCCAATCCAGCCTGATTCCAGACTTCCCTGTACATGTAATATGCACTTTAGTTATTACTTGTCAGTTGAATGCACATATTCTAGAAAAACATAGGGGTGGGTCTGTTAGTGCAGCTAACTCTGGGGATCCCTTTTTTAATATATTTTTTCCCTTTCCTTTTGCTAGGGGAGATATGTGAAACATTCAAGTTTCAACTCAGATTTGAGAAAGATGAGGCTACAGCTTTGGGCTATCGTCGGATCCGCTCAAGGACCTACGGTTTAGGTAAATATCTAATTGTTCCCCGACTAGAGAAGTCATTTTTGGAGGAGAAACTATGCGTCTTTGGGATTAGCATTTCTTTTCCATTTTCAACGATAGTGAATCCCATATTCTACTCTTTCCTGATTTTCTTTTACTGCTTTTTCAGCTACATACAACTCAGGTAACGTATTTTGCTTGTACAAAGAGTGATGATGAACACGAATACTTGCACATAAAAAATTGTCATTATATTAATGGTAAATTACACTGACCACCCCTTAAGTTTGGAGAAAACACAGAAAGTCCCACAATTTTGTTATGATTACACCGATCACCCTTTTTGTAAGGCTAAAATGATAGAACTAATGCAAATGATGTGAAGACAAAAGGATAAACAAGAAAAAATATGCATTTCAATGTAAAAGAAACGACATCATTTTTCCATCCTTATGACTAATGAATTATTGGTGAAAGAGGCCTAAATGTTATGTGAATTAAAACTTTAAGGGAACCCAATATAATTACGCCAAAATTGTGGGGCTTGCTGTACTTTCTCTGAACCCCAACAGAGATTAATGTAATTTACTCTTGTATTAATAATAAAGTAAACAACTGATGCACAAAAAGTACCATCAGTATCTATATTGGTGAAGATAAGGAAACAAGTACCAGAAAGACTCTCCTTTAGTGTACCATTTGCAATATACTCATACACCAACACCTGTTCACCTTGCTCGAAACAGTAACCCACAAGGCTGACAACATTCTTATGATGAACCCTGGACAGAAGCTCAAGCTCACTTTTGAATTCAAGACCACCCTGCATAGATCCTTGTTTAGCCCTTTTGATAGCAACCAGTTGCCCAGTGGGAAGAGTACCTCTATATACCTGTAAATTAAATTGAAAACTCTGAATATGCAAGTTACACAGCACCAAGGAATACTTTGCAAAAAGAATATTCCAAGATGGATGAGAAACTTGTTACATAAATTTATAAAATGGATGAATAATGCTCAAAATAAAAACTAGGGCAAAATTCACTTTACCTTTCCATGGTTTCGGCTCAGAGCACTTCACCCCTATGGTTCAAATATAGGCAAAGAGCCCCCTTATGTCTTGGACTAAAGTGCAAAACTAACTCTGTTAACAACAGTGGCAAAATTACCTTAGTACACTTATGTATATTCTCTTTCTCTCTTCTCAAATACAAATAATTCCCTATCTTAATCACATAAAACAACAACTAATTAGTATACATTAATGTGTGCTTGGGAGGGGGAAAAAGATTGAGTACACACCTAACCTTTGGCATATTGCACAAAGTGGTGGTCCCAAGACTTGAACCCATAACCTCAAGATTATTAGGTCAAGTCTTAACCATTGAACCAATGGTCACCCCTCCCTATCTTAATCACATATTTAACAAATTAAACCACACATTAACCCAACACCCTAATTCTATAATCTAATTTTAACTTTTAACCCAATTTATTATTTAATAACATTTTTACCATATGGGGGTGAGGAGGGGGCTGGGAGGAGTAATGGGAGTCATGGTAAGGGAAGAGGGGGCCGTGGGAGATGGTTGGGGAGGAGGATGGGATGGTAGGGTGGCAGGGTTGTGGAGAGAGGGCGTGCCGGAGGGGCTGAAGAAGAGCAGATGGATGCCAGCATGGGTGGGGTAGGGGAAAGGGGGGGTCGCAATGAAGGGAGCAGGGGTTGTGGGAGGTGGTTAGAGAGGAAGATGGAGCGGCAGGGTGGCTGGACTAGGGAAGCGATGGCAGCAGGAGGTGGGCATGATGTAAGATGTACAACTCAGAATCAATAATGTTAGAACCCAGGGAGGATACATTTTTTATTACTTTTGATTCTAGATGATTATATGAAATGATGGTGGCCTGAGGTTGTTGATGGAGGAGGGACAATTAAGGTTAGGGTTTAATTTGGGGAAGAAGATAAAGGAGGGAAGTTGGTCATTTGATTCAATTTCTGAATTTGACTTGTGATATTTCCACTGCCCACTCTCAATTTGGGCAATGCACCTACGTTATTTTTAATGGAAAAACTAACGGTGGCACTTTAGTTCAAAACCATAATACGGCTCTTTGCCTATATTTGAATCTTAACGGGTGAAGTACTGTGAGGAGAAACAACAAACGGTAAAGTGAATTTTGCCCTACAAACTAAAGCAACATGTATTGGAAAGAAAAAATATATGGTTGTTTTATAGAATTTTCAGAACAAGTCTGCAAGTACACAAAAGTTTAGTAATTAATAGATTTATCAATGATATGCCTCGATAGTTCATACATTTTCAAAGATCAGTCACCTACTTTTCATTATAAATAAATAAATAAAAAAGAAACTGCATACAATTCTACTCTAAAAAAACATTCAGAGACTTCTATCACAGTGCTGTAGAAATATACTTGTAGATAATCTACATCAATGTACAAATGTCTTTCCCTTGTAAGCTACAGTGATGGAGGCATATCTCCATTAGGGGTGGAATTGGGTAGGGTGATATGTCCAAAACTCGGTCTGTAACTATGGAGACTAGTAATATATGAGGTATGTTGTACCAAGACAAGGAAAAAGAATATAAAAGTCAACCTTTCCATAGCCACCAGATCCAACACAGTTGGCTTCTGAGAAAGTGTTTGTGTATTTCTTAAGCTCTTCAAATGAGAAACACCTAGCTCCTTTTAACTGAGGAACGCCACCATTGCTTTTATTTGAGTCCCAAGAAGCTGCATTGGTATGACATCAAAGCAACAACTAAAACCCAAGGACAGGATATGATAAACAGGAAATAAATTGTCAAGATTAACTCCTAATTTTACCAAAAGGATTGTTCTGTTTATCAGAAATTTCAGCTCTTCTCTTTTGATGAAAAGCATAAATTCCGGCAAGAAGGGACAATATCACAAGCAAAGAACAACCAACTGCTGCTCCAATAATGACCCTACTCAATGACTTGTTAGTGCCTGTAGATCCTTTTGCATGAGAGAGAGAGAGAGATTAGAATGAGAAATCATATAGATATACTTTTTTATCAGTAAAAAAAAAGACATTGATGTAAGTATGTCTCTTTTTTTGCTCTCTTTCTCTCTCACATGTATATACTTTATACCTGCAAAATACACATATTGATCGGCTCTGAAAACTAAAGGTCCAAAAGTCTTGTTAGGATAGAAAGTTAGGTTGCACAGCACAAACCCAATTCCAGAAATTCCTGTTCGATTGAAACGGTCTACACCATATGGAAACATTTTTAAGCTAAGCATGGGGGAATTATATGAATATTTACTCAGAGAAACTGAATCCACAGGGAGTTGATGGGAATGAAAAGAACTCATCAGATAATTCTCGAGAGCAACGTAGATATTCAAGTTTTCTAGGTCAAAGACAGGAGCTGCCAAGATTAGGGAACCCATATATGGAAAAGCACATCTACAGTTGGGGCTGCATATTTGATCTGATTTGCAGGCAACAGGCACACAATTATTTGGTGGTGTTGAATACAAGGATTTAGACTGTTGAACGGTGCAGTATGTTTCTATCCCTTGTTTTCCCTCACAAACTGGATTTCCTACAAGTCTACAGAAAATAACAGAAAAGTACACCAACGAGGTTATAAAATGAAAAAAGCAAAGAACAACAAATACATTAATTTGAGTAAGGATTCGGAAAGAGAAAGGAAAATGTGAATCAAATATAAGCTAAATTTTTTCTTCATTTCCCTTGCCTTTTCCTTTCCTTTTCCAAATCCTTACCCAAATCCATGTTCCAAACACACAAGCATATAACTTCCAGAAAAGGAACTAATTTAGTTCTTTGACACCATCTTACTGATGGAATGGCCAAAACCGTCTTACTACTTACATTAACTCAGACTTAAATCGCGTTCCCCGCACAAAGTCAATTATGGAATTGTTCTGCAAATCTATATGTTGCAGTTGGTTGCTATAGCTGGAGCTGATTTCCAAAGTGCCATTAAGGCGGTTGTTCCTCAATACACTGATATGACATGCCAAAGAAAATTGATTTGATTATAGTGGGCATGATGTAAGATGTACAACTCAGAATCAATAATGTTAGAACCCAGGGAGGATACATTTTTTATTACTTTTGATTCTAGATGATTATATGAAATGCAGTATATGAGATTAAACTGATACTCACACTTTCGTTAACAGTGGAAGGCTGAAGAAGGCAGCTGGAATTTGACCTTGAAGTCCTGTGTTTTCCATCACTCTGCCAGTAAAATGTTAGCAGAAACATAATTGTAGTGATTTGAACCTTCTCATTTTAGCTGAAGCTCTTTGTAAAATTGCACGCACAAAATTGAAAGATTGATGCCTACATCAATTTTACCTTAAAATGTTTAGGTAGCTGACATCAACAAAGAAAATAACTGAGTTCATTTTTCAACATTCTCTCACAAAATCCTAGAAACTTGACGCACACAAAAAATAAAAAACAGTAGAGAATAAGAAATACTATAAATTTAGTCTTCGTACAATATCAAACTAAGAAGCACAGACACTTCTAAGAAGGTGGCATGTCCATGTCGTGTTTGTGTCGGATAGCGACACTCGTTCAACACTTCCCGATGCGTGTCCGACACTCGTTAAAAAGTGTTTTATTTTTTTAAAAGTTTTTTAGATCTAGACCCTCGGAGGACACACGTTTCCACCGATTAGACATACATGAAACTAATTATAAGTTTGAACTAAATAACTTAGGATACAATAATAAAAGAAAAAAACAATGTAAATTTATAGAATAAGTGTTATATTACATTTTTTTATTTTTTTTGAATGATATATTTATATATATGACATATAATAAATATATATTTCGTGCATATCCCCCATGTGTCGTGTCCTAATTTTCTTGAAAATTGGCGAGTCTGTGTGTTCGTGTCGGTGCTTCTTAATGAGTTGGTGCACAACCTGTATTACATTAGGGGCAGAGGTGTTTTGACTATAAGATAGCAGGTGCATGGTCTGTGATCCTTCTGTGGGCTGTGCATCAGTGGAAGTTTTCTAGTTGTTTTCTGTTATTTGTTTCAGCACTGTTACTAGTTGTTTTCTATCTCTTGGTTGATTTCTCCTCAACCTTCGTTTTCGGTTGGTGCTACAAATGATTGGGCATGTCCTGTTGTGCCAACCTAGTTGGGATAACTTGATTATGCTGCAGTGCTTATAGCACTACCTCTTTATTGATATATGATGTAAGGTTATCCTTCGTTCTTATCAACAAAGATTCATTTTGCTGATTAAAAAAAAATTGTGTCATGTTAGAAGTCATACCAACTCCAGCTCAACTCAACAAGCCTTTGTTCCAATTACTTGGGGTTAGCTACATGAATCAATTTCCACTAGTTGGCACTATTTAAAGTCGTATCATCAGTTAAGTTTATGGAAATCACTTTTCCTTATCACCTCAACTCATGTTCTCCTTGCCTTTATTTTTTTAAGACGATGTTGCGCAACTTGGAGCAAGGGAAAAGACAGAAACATTCTTCATGTTATCTATTGTATTCACCATCATAGTTGTCAAATCGTGAATCGAATCATGAATCGAAATGGCCTTGTATTGAATCTCGAATTGAATCAAATTGTGAATCATAAAGATTCGGTCACTTTTTCTAAATTACTTACAAAAATATATCTACACACTTGGTTGTTAAATATATCTTGTAAATATAAAATATTTAGACTTAAATAAATGAAAATATTATTTTGAATGATGATTACATAGTCTAATAGGTAAAAAATTAACAGAAGTCCCTATGTAAGATCGCCATCTTATCTTTTTCCTTTTATAAATATTGCTTCTCAATAGCTTAACAACAATGTTGATATTTCAGAAGCATACATACATTTACAAGTAACAATGACCCAATATTAAAGAACTTGCAGAAACATTGGGTTTAACAAACCTCAACCATGTAATATTGAAATATATTTCTTTCAATATAATAGCAATATATAATTCATATTGCAAGTGACTTTAACCATAAACATCTTTAAAATATACGTCATGATTTATTTTTAAGAAAAAAAATGAGTAGAAAAGGTTAAAAACATGTTGGGTTTGACTCAATTTGATTGGATCCTATTAAAAACACCCGGATCTCCAAAAGAACAACAAATCATGTATATATATTGGTTATTTTCGTACTAAACACTATTACAAGTTGTATTATGTCATTTTAATTAAAAAAAGAGAGGAAAAAAGAAAGAATCGAAATATGTCGGATATGATAGTTTCAAGAATTGCATAAATCATACAAAGTGAATCGATTGTGAATCGTGCAATTCACTAGAGATTCACTTCCAAAATAGATTCACCCCTATATTCGTATCTATTTTTCGAAAATTACAAATCAAATCGTGAATCGTAAAATTATGATAACAGAGTTCACCATATACATATAAGACTAGGTAGAGTTTAGTAATTGTTCTTTTAGCAACTTTTTTTTTAGGGGGTGGGGATCTTTAGTGGACTTTTTTCTTTTCTTTTTTTTTTAATTCTCGAAAAAACCCGTACACTTTAGATGAACTTGAAAAGTTTATTTTAAGTTTATGAAAAAAACCCAAAAAAAATTTAAAAAAAAATAAAAAAAAAAAAAAAAAAAAAAAAAAAAAAAGAAGAAGAAGAAAGAAGAAGAAAGAAAGATTGGTTAAAAAAATCTTGTCTTAAGTAAACTTTTTTGGATTTTTAAATTATTAATATTTTTTTTAACTTTTTAGATCCTCCTAAACAAGATGGACCTAAAAAGTTTAAAAACAAATGTAGCGATCCCGGTTTCGATCCTTCTTTCATGTTTTGCCACTTCGACTGGACCGGTCGGGGGTTGAGCTGCCCGGCCAGCTCGCGGGGGTCTAGGGGGCAGCGCCCCTTGGCGGGTCCTAAGGCAGCGCCCTGACGGGCTTGAGGGACAGCGCCCCCAAAACAAAAATGCAAAATGCATTCGAAGTTGCTTGTCCGCTCGAGCAGCCGTTTATGCGTTCGAGCGGAGAATGTTTGGTTTCAGAAGTTTGACCTGTCTACAAAAGTACTAGGTTAGTGTATTTGACACTCAAGCGGGACATTCCAAGCTCGAGCGGACCATGTTATATCAGTTCGTGAATCTGATATTTCATATCACTTTTTAGTCTTCTCTCACTCTAAAACTTTCCAGAATTCCAGATCGGGAACTTCTCTCTCTAGAAGTCATCTTCTCTCTTTGATTTCTCCAAATCTATTGGGATTTAGACCTAAGTTCATCACTAAAGTCGGTTATCTAGGCAAGGGCTACGTTGTGTGCGGTGGAGATCAAATTTCATCGTCGTTGATTTTGGGGTTTTCGACTCGTTTCTTCTTCAAACTTGAGGTAGGAATTTCCTTTGAGTTATATATATGTTTTTGCAAGATCTAGATAATTTTCGAAATCATCCTTTGATTAGCTTTAAGAAATTGATTGTTGATTTCAAGAAGATGAGTGATTTTGAAAGAGAGTTTTATTTCTTTTCCTTTTAAAATAGAAATTGAAGGTTTTGAACCATATTGATTGAAAAAAGATGATTTTGGGGGGATTCTTCTAAGTATTTTGGAGATGAATGGTTTTGGTGAGAAAACCTAAAAATTGGGTCTTTTCTTTGAAAGATATTGAAAATCCTTGGAAGATGTTGTCATATTTATTTTGTGCACCAAAATAAATGAATGTTTTGAAAATTGTTTATATATATATAAATGATGAATTTTGTGGAAAAAAAAATGAGAAATGTTGTTTATTTTGAAAATTGTTGTCAAAATGTTGATTTAGTCTTGAATTGACTAAATTGTTCAGATTGCTCAAAATGCGGGAATTACGTTATTCTCTTGAATGAATTGGATATAAAAGTATATATATATATATTCATCTTGTGGAATTGTGTTGAAAAGAGGATTGGGAATTTTGATCACAATGGTATATTGTGTGGAACAATTGAATATGGAAGTAATGTTGCATTGCATTATTAAGCATACATTGGTATTTCAATTCATTGGACTATGTTAAGCTTTGGAAATTTGCATTAAGAAAAGAATGTTGGGAAATGGGTTTTCATGAAATGGTTTTGGAGTAAATACGGTGGTAAGTCTTGATAGATGGTGTAGATGAAATTGTTTAAGTTAGCCTGAGTGTCCTAGGTGAAAGACCAAAAAGTCGCGCGGATAGGTGTCGAGCCTTCCGGTTAATACCGGTAAAAATGACAACTGGTAATACTCGTATAGTTTACTTGCAGACACCGACCTAGGGATTACCAGAGCTGTATTTACCGCCCCTTGAATTAAATTAATAAATTTTGAACAGTTGAAGTTGCATAACATCATTGAGTATGATGGTTTTCAAAAGATGAAGATGTGTTTTATTTTCAAAAAGGCATGGCATGTGCATTCATCTCTTGAGACTTGTATAAAATGTATATACTTTGTGAAGGATTTCCTACTGGGCTTTATGCTCACCCTACGAGATTTTTGTGCAGGAAAAGACGTGGTGAATTTGACTTAGAAAATATGAGGAAGAAGAACTCCGAAAAATATGAGGAGGAAGGAATATATTTCTGTTATATTCAAAACTTCTTATCTTACAAGACTAAATGACACTCCTTATATAGGAGATATTACAAACATTATTATAACCCATTATATGCCACTTACATATTATATATTACCACTATCTACCACTAACATATTATATACATGCCACTATCTACCACCAACACCACTATCACATATTCTATACATGCCACTATCTACCACCAACACCACTATCATATTATATACATGCCACTATCTTATTATTAACACAAATTTCCAGCAGGAAGACTGTGGACGCAATCATGCGGGGGTAAGCAATTCCCAAGTTCTCACCAAGATGGGAAGGGCCCTACAAAGTTGCTGAGGCAAGCCGCAGCGGGTACTACAAGTTGACGAGTAGATGATGAGTTCAGAACTGGCCGTATCATCGCCACGTTGTGTGCATACTCGAGGAAACCAACAACTGCCTGAAGCCTATCCCTTATCCACGATAGGTCCAAACCGTTCCTCTCAAAGTCGCTAGTATGAGAAATAACTAAAACATTAGCATTCGATAAATAGTTAATACTTGTAAACCAACTTACAACACATCCTAGTTCCATGACAGATACACCCGTGTTTCATTCCACCTTCCTTTACTTATCCAATTCAAATTCATAAACAAGGCTCATTACCTAGCCAAACAATTAAATGAGACTACAACTCATATTAAAACATTTCAATACTTCAATTATCTAGGTTATGCAAATGTAATTAGGATTTCGGGAGTTTCAACCTAGACACTTCGGCCAACTTAGTTATCAATGGAGTCCATCCCCTATCTCCTCCCAAACTGGTTTGAGAGTGCATCCCCTATCCCTTCCCAAAC